GAAAACGCCCCACTTTAAAACGATGACAGAAAGTGCATAGCGATCTAAGTACTTTAACCATGTGTTCAAAGAATAACAAGACAAGGAAGCTCGATGTGGCCAAAATGGCCAAGAACACTTGCATCTGAAGAGAGCAGTTGATGAGGAGATCAAATCAGTTTTCTGAAATATAGACTGAGTACCAATGTTTTGAATTTACATCTCGAGTACTGATAAGCGGTCATATGGACCTCCTACAGGATTTCCAATGCCGTCAAATAGGGCAGCAACATTGATCCCTTTGACTGACATCTTACGAATCTCTTCCACCGAGAGGCAGCCGAACGATAATAAGGCTATTTCACAATTAAGTGGGAACGTGATTCAAGTAAGGTGCGTATTGTTAAGAATTATGTGTTAAATATTTCAACTGCTAGCGCGAATAATGTTTCTTTGTGCTAATAGGGGGCAGTAAGCTTGTGTTCTGCAACAAAACCACACTTGAATTTGGTGATATTCGACTTGAATAGCTTTCTTTTTCTCTTCTCCAATACCCAATCCTTTTATCTCATCAACAACAATTATCTGTCAATCACTTTGTTTGAGAGGACATCACATGATGTTTATTCTTATTTAATGGAAGTCTTTATAATTCATAGTATGGGAAATACCATTAATATTAAGTCTTGTAGCTATTACTATAATGTACCTTAAGTTTTCATTATATCCTGTTGCTTTTTCAATATTGAAAACGCTTTTTCCTGAACAAAGAAAGTTTATCGTTTTCTTATCTCGCGTAATTGAAAAGAGGTATTTGACATTTTTGGTAAGTATTTTGTGGCGTATTGTACATAGTAATAGTAATTTGAAAGTGGCTTGAGCAGTTTTCTGGTCTATCAAACTATGAAGAGATTCTTCAATTGTCAAGTCATTGTAAGACAATACACGGATTGACGGCATTTGTTGCATTCGGCACAATCTGGAAATTGGCAATAGTAATAGCAAGTGGTATTAAACTGTGAACCCGCCAACTGGATCGTTTCAACCTTACTAACACGTCACTTCAATTGACTAATCAGGGAATAAGTAAGAATTCAAAGAAAAACGTAGTTACAGCCCACACGAACCGACTTTCGAACTTAGCTAGAGACTGGACAACCTGCTAGCTCATTTACTCAATCTTTCTACCATTTCAGTTGTTTTCCCTCTTTTTGTTATGATAATTATTGTAAGGAAATCTTATAGACTTTAATTCTTACTGTACTTACTCGATTAAAGGTTCCATTCTAGTATTCTTCGCTATACATTTCACACTCTTTTTTTGAAAACACTTAACCCTACTCGTCATTTAACAACTATATCCTATCAACCTGCCACATAGAACGCATAAAGGACCGCATTTTATAGTAGCGTCGAGACAATGAGAGAATTACTACTAGTACGCAAACTCGAAGAAGAAAATGCAAAGAGAAAACAAACCGGCGACACAATAAAAGATACTTCAGCTTCTGGAGGTCTGTCTTCGCAAAGCCATAGTTGCGAACCTACAAAAGAAGACCTTTACAGTTGCAAGGACATAGCCAACTCAAGTAGTCCCGCAACAGATGCAAACAGCCAAAATCCACCGTCCTCTAACGAAAGCCAAGAGATATTGGCACCTGAAATAGAAAATTTTGTTGATAATAAAGAGCACCTACTTGAAGAGAATGCCTATGTAGAGAATACCAACTTGGACGAAAACCAAATTCCAAATTCTATGGAAAATACACACACAACATTAGATTCATCTATAAACAATTTCCCAGAAATATCAGAGGAAGAAAGAAGGCAACAAGAAGAATCTGCATTGGAACTGAAGACGAGACGCGAGAGTTTAAAAGAGTTTTTCAGACAGCAACAGCCTTACGTAAGAGAAACTACGGATACTTGCAAAAGAGCGCTATCCGAAGCTGAATATGCCATTCCTATTTCAACAGGGACTGTATTATTAGATGCGGATAAGGCTATTGGAAGGTAAGTTAAATCGTTCGTTAAGCACATAGATGCGGTCTTCTCTATTTCCTAAAGGGGTGGAAATGGTTAGACCATTCGATATTTACTTCCTCCATCTATATCTCAGTCAAGAACCCGCAGGAAAACTTCCATATTTGGAGGAGGAAAATACGATAAATGGTGCATCGGATGAAGCAGAATCCGTTGCAAAACTACCCACCGCTGAAGATGAACCGAAAACGACGAATATGGAGAATAAAAATTTATCTGCTCCACCTTTAGCAGAACTAAGTCCCGATGAAAAAAGGCAGAAAGCTGCTGCTTCTCGAGCTATGCAGAAGAAAAGTCTTAGAGAGATGATGAAACAGAAGCGACGCCAAGTCACTACTGAACATAAGGAAGAGAGTGATGGCAGTATAATCATTATAACACCAAATACGAAGAATACTGAAACCAATTTACAAGCTACAGGGGATATTCAAACCAACGCAGGCGTCGCGGATGCAGATTCAGACGGATCAGTTGACTTAGATGCACTAATTGCACAGGGCAGTGATTTGGATTCAAGCGGTATTAATTTGGAGATTGATGGCGTGAATGATGACGATGATGACTTCTGGAAAGTTGATTCTTCGGAGGTAATTTTGTTTTCTTATTTTGAGCACTTGAAAAATATATATTAATAGCCTAGCTATCATAACAGCTTGAGAAACACTTGACACCATCCACCTCTCCGCTACGTCAGCTGTCTCCTGATCCGCAAAATGTGCCTGCTATGGCACTATTTCAAAGATCGAGACCTGAAGTTATTGAAGAAGAGGAGGATCTAAGCGATACCATCCTTGCAGTTGACGACCAAGAAGTCGACGATCTTTGGGATTCATCGGCGGATACACATAACTATGAAGTAAGTTTATCAAATGTCTCGAGATTGATTCAATGGAGCTCACAAGATTAAACGGATACTTTTATTGATTTAAAGTTGGAGTCAAAAGAAGAAGACGAATTTGACAGGTCTTTGGACACACAAATAACACCGGTACTAAAACCCATATCGTCTCCATCTCCGTCTCCGTCTCCACGTCCATCTTTAAGTGGGGGTAAATCAGGAATTCCTACAGGACTACCGAGACCCGGTTTCGCACCACATTTCGGCGGGTTTCCTCTATCACCTAATTCATCGAGAGCTTCGTCGAATGCTGACCCTGATGAATTCGAGACACTGTCAAACGGTTCTCACACGTCCGTCAGATCGACCAGCAGCTCAAAGTCTGGTGCGTCAAGCATCCGCAGGCCTTCAACAACAATGGGTATTCGTGCTCCTAGCAGAATTGGTTCTCACGGTGCCATTTCACCCTCAAGAATAGGTTCACCGAATTATTCTGGCATAGCGACGCCTAGTCGATCTCGTTCAATGAGTATAGTGAGTAACAGTTCAGCTGAAGAGAGCACTACCTCCTCAGCTGGTGGGGCACACTCACCAATACGAATTGCCTCACCGACGCGCGGACTCCGAACACATCAAGGTATCCCATCAGGCATACCAACCGGTACACGTCCAAGATCACGAAGCAGAGTCAGTACGAGTTCGACCGATGAAGTGTTGACTAGGCCTGCTAGTGTAGCAGGAACCCCTATACGCCCATTGAATAGAGCTAGCACGCAAATTGGAACGAAAACCTCCAACATAATTTCACCTAACAAGAAGACCAAAAGTGGCGTTCCTGAGGCAACGAATAGTAAAATAGCAAGTTCTAAAGTTACATCTCCGGCACGTGCATCATCCACAAGAATTACCTCACCCTCGCGCGGACTCCGATCACCACAAGCTATCACATCGGGTATACCAACTGGTTCTCGTCCAAGAACACAAAGCAGAATCAGTACAAGTTCGACTAACGAAGGGTTGACTAGACCTGCTAGTGTGGCAGGAACTCCTGTACGCTCATTGAATAGAGCTAGCACACAAATTGGGACTACAAAAACTTCTAGTACCATTTCACCAATTAGGAAGACTAAAAGCGGTGTTCCCGGTGCAACGAATAGCAAAATAGCAAGTGTTAAAGTTACATCTTCAACACGTACATCATCAACATCAACAACTGCATCTGGATCAAAAAGTCTTCGCATACGAGATTAACACTGGTAATATAGCAACGTGGGAGACTAATGTCTTTAGGTCATCAGACAAATTCCCGTTTATTAAATATAAGCCTCGTGAGACGCAACTTTTGTAGACTTGATGCTGAACATAGAATTATTACATGCAAAACCAGTTTTAGACGCTACACATAGCTCAATGTTCGCCAAACGTTTTGTTCTAATGATTGCAGAATGATTCCTAATTGTAATCGCGTAACTGCGATCGTGTTACACAGATATGTTTTATCCATTTAATGTCAATTTTCGTACTGTACTTGGAAATTCTACGTTTAGTAAAACATTTGTCTAATTTTAGTGACAGTGTAGAAATGAGCCTGCTATCATCTCCACAGAGCAGAAATCAACCCATCAAGTTCATTGACTGCAAACCCGATAGTTTAACGGAATGAAAGATGATAAAATTTGAGATAATTTTTGCCTGTTAGAATTGGGAACGATAACAATAAAATAATCAACAGTCAGCATTGATTTTTATAATCAAATCTTAGATGTATGCGGGGATTACTGAGTTAAGTAACACAAGCAATTTTATTGGTTAATATATTCTGTCCTCTTCCTATATTAATAGAAATAGTCTCTTCCTCCTCTTCACTTGAGTCTTCTTCTATATGCCTTCAGCCACCAGAAATTCTTCCAAAATTTCTTCTTCTGTTGGCAACTCTGACCACCGTCCAATTGAGCATATTCTTCTGTTGTTATACTCACTGAGGAATCTGCAATCTTTAGGCGATTGAGAGCTGAAATCAAATTAGCCATGTCTTCATTGATTTTGTCGATCTCCATTGTCTAGGTTATTAACCCATTTGGATACCAAAATCGCTCGATAATTTACTTTGAATGTGAGATGTCGTATTTGGTGGGAGGAATTTCTACTTGTAAAATTTTAAGGCCGATGGAAGAACCATCTGTATGAGCGGGACAATTATCAATTAGTAAAAGTGATCTCTCGACCAATTGATTGTCTAACCACCGTAACCATTCATTCCACTTTTCCATTGTCATCCAGCCTTCGAATTACTAGTGTATCGGACTAGTAGTGTCTGCGTGTTAATTTTTTTAAAGCAGTGAGGATTTTGATATTTCTCGATAACAAGTAGCATTGCAACAGTAACTCGTTCTTTGTTTTTCTTAGTGCCTTTCGCTTTATCGCTTTTTGTTGCAAGCGTTTTGTTGGGCTAAGCGAAAAAATAAGCCCGTTTCGTCTGCATTGTAAACATTTTCTATATCAAATAGAGCTATTAACTCTTGTAACTTTTTTCTTCCACTTTCGTCCGTAATAATTTTGCTACCGTTTTTGGAACTTTTCTAACCATCCTTTTGACGCTTCAAAATTAGACAGTTGTGTCCCACTTTCTTTAGCCTACATCCTGGGATACAGGAATATTCTGACTACGCAAACTTTGAAACCACTTGTAAAGTGCTTCTTCCAAAGAAGGAAATCGCGCTTCTTGGATGCGAGTTTTTCTCAGATCTGAATAATTTGCATTTGCATGCAATTGTAATAGTAGAACGAAAAATTGTAGATGACAACTGGTGGCTTTCCTTCAGAACCGCATCCTTTAGCAACTGAGAGTGCTAATCCAACACGCAGCTATAAAAGTTCGGAAAAAGGGAGATAATAAGTAGTTGCTTAGATATAATAATAATATTTGATGTGTCGGAAGAATCTGCTTTCATAAATAAGAATTGTAGGCTGAAGCTGAGCTGACTTAGATAATAATAGCTCGGTTTGGCAAAGGACCTGGTATTTTCCTCAAATAGTTATGTAACGTTCTGATGACGTCATAGTTATTATATTAGCGTTAGGAATGTTAAATTGCATTGGTCTATTAAAAGAGACGCTTGTTAAAATTGTTGTATTCTGACCCTTTATCACTCTCCTTTGTCAACCCAATAGTAGTTCTGTCCTCCACAACACTATTTACATTATGCTACGATCAAATCTCTCATCGCTTAGAAGGAAGACACCGTTTACAGTGCAACCGACAAAGTGTTGTTGCTGCTTTCCTCTTCGCTGTGGAGTTATGACCATTAGTATACTGTTAGTGGTAAGATGCATTACGTGCGATTAATAGGTATTACTAAAGAAAGAACAGAAAGGAAACAACGATGTACATACTGTTTATAATCTGATTGTCTTGATACTGTAAACGACGCGTTAGAATAGGTGCTTGCAGGATGGTGTTCTATTACATTGCTTACCGGTTCTCCGGGTGAGTTGGTTTATGACAACTACTTGTGAATTACGTTTTCGATTGCTTGAGATAATAGTGATTATATGCTGAAGTGACATTCTGCTTACAGTATATGATTCCCACACATCGAACGGTGTCATGATACTTTATGGACTGCTATATTCGCTCACAGTTCCGGTTGGGGTATTTGGTGTTTATGCAGCACATAAGGTAACTTATTAATAAAGATGAGAGAATTAAGTGAAAATTTTGAAACTGAAAATCTCTTATTTTTTTATAATTCATTTATCGAAATAAATTACAAATCCGAAAACACTTAGAATGATCTAAAATATATCAACTGGTTTTCATGGTCATTCTGGATATCTATAGTTGCTCTTCTCGTTCTCCAATTTGTCAATTTCATTCTCTCTGTCGTATGGCGAAGAAGTACAGTGGTCGAATGTACTCATGAACTCAATTATCTGATTGTGGGGAATTCGAGTTCGACTTTTATCCCACTAAATCAGAGCTCTGTGAATCCACAGGTTATTTATGATGCATGTAAACAGGCTTCTTCGCTGTATATATGTTGGACTATAACAGAGTTGGTTGTGCTGCAGTTTATGCTGTTCGTAAGTGGGGAAGGAGTATTTTGTTTCGTTTACAGTGGGTTGGGAAGATTATTGATAGATTTATAAAAAAAATTGATTATATTTCTTTACCTGCCTTTTTACCTGATAATTGTTTCTATACCTTATTAATTTTATTCTCTTTTGCCGTTAGGTCTACTTCGGACTCGTTGTTAATGCATATGAACGGGATTTACGAAAAGAAGAAAAAGTTATTCCTGACGATCATGACACCGATGGGAGGGACGTTGTATGCAGTAATAACAAAGAGAACATTGAACATGAAAAAGTGGGTATTGAAGCAGTCGCTGAAGGAGGATCAATTCAAAAATTCGCGGCGGATGCGCCAGATTCATTGATTCCAGAAAAGTCTAGTTTTGTTCACACCGACGATCTCTAATCCATCCGAAACGATATTCGCTTGCTAACTAGTCACAGGATGTAGCTAATCAGCTGTTTGCAATGGATGTATTTATATTGTATCCGTAGCTGTAAAATAAATCGGCTATTTATTAGGATTGCTTTCACATCTTGTAAACTCTGAACTTCGATTACGAATAAAATGTGTTGGGTTCTAGTATGTGGTGACTGGTGAAGTATGACTCATGAATCTCATGACACGGTTTTTTCGGACATCGTGAATAAGATATTGCTAGAAACACCATACCATGTTTATAGATAAAGTTATTTTTGATATATTAAATTGTCAATCGTTACGTTGGACTTTAATACAACGGATGATGGTGCTTCTGATATTTCTAGAATTCAGAGAAGCAGAATTTGCATTTTAGCAACATACTTGACCGTGGCAAAGGTTGGTTAAATATTATAAGAAATTTATTCCCGTCTTTCTGATGACTTTATATAACCTATATAATTATATCAACTGGCTGATCTCGGAAAAGTATCCGGCCAAGCTCTTTTATATTTCTTAAGGTTGGACATATTAACTGTGGCAGATTAAAACGAAATTGGGGTCTTTTTGGATCCTCTTTTAATGCCTCTGAAACCCGCATATACTCTTCTATTAACAAAAGTTACCCTAAATTCCAACCCAAATTCAAAAAAAAAAGCCTAGAAAATTGCCCCCAAAAAATTTTAAATTTTCATATTAAAATAGAAAAAATTTCGTTTTAATCCGATTTCGTTTAATCTGTTACAATAAACAAAAGCATAAACTCAAAAATTGGATTGCTCAAAAACAGGTTAAGGTACTTCCCGATTGGCCTTCTCAATCTACAGACCTTCCGATTGAGCATGATAAACGTTCTGTACATCCAATGAACTTGAGGAAATATTACAAGAATGGAGAAAAATCTGTCTGAAACTTATACTAAACTTATAGAAAGCATGCCACATAGAACTGAAGCAATCAAGGATTAGGATTAGGATGGCCTACCAAGTATTAATGTTATATTTGTAATAAACAAAATTTTTCTTTAGCTGGCCGGATACTTTTCCGAGGGTAGTGTTATGAGTTATTGAAAGCAATGGAGAAAGAATAGCATGTTAAAATTTTGCTAATAAATCTGCATTTTACTATCAAATGAGGTATTAATAATGTTGATTGCTATGGTCGTTGTTGCTCAGTGATCAAATATGTAATTGCCAATAATTTCTTTATACACTGTAAATAAGTAGAAACATTCTTCGTGTTCGCTATATTATTGTATAACAGTATTTAAAATGTTCCAGAAATAATGTGTGTATTTGCTGAATTAATTAATCGGAAACGATGGTAAAGTCCATAGTTATCAGGATTAATTGAACCTAAACCCAATATTTTTTACTGAGAAGTATAAATTTTGCGTTTCTGCATTCTTGCGCTAGGAACACTATGATAACATAAAGGTACCAACTATTATCTGAATTTCGCGGTACAGAACCAAGTTCTTACTACAGTTATTTTCAAGCAAGCTGTAAGGACAACTTTTTCTATCGCAAAGTTTTAAAATCGGACCATATAGTAATGAATTTAATTTCTTGAACGCGAACAAAATTTCTTACATTGCGATTGGAAGATTTTGGGCAAGTTTTCCGATTTGCTCAAATTGAAAGTAAAATTGAGATGACAAAGTAGAAACATGTATGAAGTGTATCCTAATTACTAGCAGGATTGATAGAACGAAAAATAGAATGGTTGCGAACACATTCAAATTGTTTACATATTAGATAAGATTTCTTGTGACGAAATTGACCCTTGTCTAAATGAATAATCTTGACCATTGCTGACTCCTCAAAGGAATCTGTTGTCCACATTTAATTGCATAGTTATCACGCTTCTATTGCACTAATCCTATACTCGCGAAGAGGTTACTATACGTTTGCAACGTGAGATTAGATGTTATTTAAAAAATTTTTTCAATCGACGCAAAAGATTTGATATCATAACCTCTCCAAGAGAGCTTTAAGTCAAGAATGTTAAACGTTAATTTGTAATATTCTCTGCCATACTCCTGTTGAGAACAAGAATATCGTTAGTATGTAAATAGCTGGTAGCACGACAGTAATGTGTCGTTGATAGATAATTGCTTCAACGACTTTCATAGGTTAATATGTCAATTTTAATACACTTTTATACGAGTGTAACTTTAAAAGTTGTTTTCGACGCTTATTCTTTGTCAGTTTATGTATTTTGAAGCTCGACATGTTAGTTATGATTCTTGAAATGATAGACGTGTTGCCCGTAGCCAAAATTCAGGACATTTCGAAATAATAATAAGCACGTTTTATTTCGCGACACAATGTTGCTTATTGGTTGTGATATTCGACAACGTAATATCGCTACGGACTAGAACATTTTATTATTATATCCGATTTTTCCGTAATATAATGTAGTTCCAATGAGAGTTTTGCAATTTGCAGCGATCGTAAGAAATACAGTGAATTCCACTGTTCACGTTAACAGAATAGTGTCAACACTTAGTCAAAAGTGCCAGGGTATGTTTCCAACGAGTGTTTTTTAATAACGGTTACGGGCTTCGAGGTAAAAGAACGTATTTTTGTAAAAGGAAGGGCACAGCAAAACTTTGTTAGTACACTGCAGTTTGACCAAACGACAAACTATTTAATACGTTAGCATTAGCATTAGCATTAGCATTAGCATTAGCATTAGCATTAGCATTAGCATTAGCATTAGCATTAGCATTAGCGAAACCTAGGTTACAGTTTTATTGGCTCCATTATTTAAATAACGGATGCACTGAACGGACTACATGCAAAGTGATGAAGAATAATAACAGGCATAATGAGAGTATTCATAATAGTGTATTATAATTATTGTATAAATTTCCTTCGTTTCGGTTTTTATTATTCCTTGTTCTGATTGAATAGCTTAATTTCATATTTGATTGACATATTAATATTGACATCAATGACCAATGTGCCAATGTTTACATCACTGTATTTAGAGTATCTGCTTGTCGCACAATAAGTAGTCTATCAACAACTCATCGCTTAACGCTAATTAGACAATGACCATACAGACTGTTTGTTATCGTGCGCCATTCTGAGAGCACTCCTGTATTCAGACATGTCCAGTTGCAGAAAGCTTGAGTGTGGCATGCACGGTTATAAAGAACAGTTTGGAAACCATTGTTCTTCATATCAACATCCACCCTTTATTGTGTGTAACCCAGTCTAACTCGAGATATCCACGTTGTGTGGAATGAATGCTAATATTGGGAATTTGATCACTAATTAAACTCTTTTCGCCCCTTGCATTCAGGAATTTATTAAGTAATCAATGGTTTAAGGCGAGGGAAAAAACGAGCAATAGGCATCAGTGGAATAGGAATAGGCCCGATTTCGGCAGAAACACCTATTAAAATTGGAACAAGAAGAGCAACGATACATATGCACATCATATATTATACACAAATAAATAATATAAATAAATACATTACATATTGTCTTGCCCTATTATATTCCACTTGTCATTAGTCAGTGCAGAATTACTTGTATTCCGTGTACTGTTACATTCGTTCAACTGCGTCAGTTCACCTATCAAATATGTTCGTCACCTGTGAACCCCACAAACTTCCCTACAAAGACTTTTCGCAATACCAGCTAAACAGACCGACTTTCATTGCCAACGGACACTATCCTTGTCCTTGAAAATATCATCAAGGTAACTCGTACTTTCTTTCTGTAATCGCATATATGTCTAGCTCTTATCCTTGCTTTCTACTCACAACCCATCCTCATATTTTCTTCGCTTTCACCCCACATTAACATCCCCCAAACACCCGTTTACCATGGATTTAATTATCCTGCTCTTCTGTGCGTTTATTCTGGTTAGTGCAACATATTTGATTCACATAAATAAATAAAATATATACATACCATATTTACACGTATATACATATTACGAACTTTATTCCATTTTATCCTTTTTTTTTTCCTCCTCAACCCGCTGCTTCAACTATAAACTTCTCATCTTAACATTTCTTCATTACACCAGGGTATGGTCGTATGGCAACCAAACAACAGTATGCTCACTGAAGACCCTTCTTCAACCACCACTAACACTGTTGATATGGAGGATAAAAATACCCTCAAAGACTCTCATTCTGAATCACTTGGCACAACGCATTTCAACAATACAGAAGCAGAACGAAAGAAAACAGCTGAAAAATTATTCGGGAATAGCAGCGCCGATATTTCACCTGCTGTCGAAGACACTCTAGATTGTAACATAAACACACTTAGTACAATTACTGATAAAGCAACAGATATAAAAGATACAACTGACATGACTAATAATAATTCGACTACTGCCATTTCCGTCGAGACCGTAGGTACCCATCACCTCACAGATACCATCTCAGAAGATTCACAAGTTTCTTTAATAGAAACTCATATCCCTGAAGAACATCGTCTGTCGAAAGAATCCCGATTTTCAAAAGAATCAGGAATGGTTTCGAGTGCAAGCAGTTCTATAAACGACGGCGACAACGAGACTGACGCTCAACAACCTTCTAGCTTGACGTCTCAATTGTCCACTACCAACAATGACCAATACACTCGAACATTCACTGATAACTCTAACAAGCACTTGGGCATAATCACCGAAGAAGAAGAAACGAAATCAATACTTTCTAATCATTCCCAAGATGTATCAAACTATGCTCCAGAAAGCATAGAGAATAATAGTGAAAAGCAAAATATTACTACAAATGTCCGAGAAGAGCACTTTCTAACTTCAGACCAAGCAGATACAGAGACAAGACTCAGCGGCTCATCACCGACTGCTTCTGATATATCTGAAACTCCCTTATCTTCGAACCAACTTCCTGTGGAAGCAAAAAGGAGAAGTAGCTCTAAGCGCAAAAACTCGACACGTTCAATATTTTCTGTCTTGTCTCCCTCGATTAGATCATCGTCTTCATCGACGTCAACGAGAGATTCTAGCAGAGGTTCATTTTCTGACACAGAGGGCGATCCTGTTCCACGTAAACAACAGCAACATTCGGTATTATCTAAAGCAGACAGAATACTGGGAAGGTCACCGTTTGGCTCAATATCAGCCAGGAGGCGAACTTCGAGGATGCTGAATGCTAGCGAGAGCGAGGTAACCCCCCCCGGATCACCTAATTCTCCCGAGAAGCTGTCCAAAATAGGCAAAATACTTGGATTAACTCCATCGGAGGAGAAGCTTTTGTTAGAAAAACCAGATGTAGCAAGCCAAATATTCCAATTATCGTCCTCATCCTCATCGTCTCTAGACGAAAAATCTGCAAAGCCTAAAAAAAGTGAAGCCGATAATCGCCCAGTCAATACAAGTAATAAAGCAAATAAAGTGCTTGGTTTACCAGTTGATAATGGAATGCCTGTAATAGACGAGAAGAGCAAAGCTGGGAAAATCTTGGGATTAGAAGAGAAGGTTCAAAAACGTAGAGGAACATCAATGTATGTCAGTAGAGTTAGCGACAGAGTTTCCGGTCTGGTAGTTCACTCTCGTGTCGGCATTAGTAGTCCAATCACAGTTGCCACTGTTAATAAGAATATTGCTTTGACTGGCACGTTAACTAAATATCAGCATGTTACGTTTGGAAAAAGCTGGAAGCGAAGATTTTTCATCCTCGCCAAGACGACTTTATACTGTTTCAAGGATAGCGAAAGATCGTCACTAATGACAGACAGTTTTGAAATAACGGCTGAAACAACTGTCTGCGTAACTGATGCATTCAGTGGTAAACAATGGATGTTACAAGTAAACAAAGAAGGAACTAAACCGTGGTATCTCCAAGCGGACAATGTAGAAGACATGAAATTATGGTTGGCAGAACTGAAAGCGACAGTTGTTAAATGTAAATATAGCGTAACACAACTTCCAGAAGTACCAACACATAAGACTATAGATGAGCCCGTTAACAATATACATAATACCCCCGTCCCTGCTCCTCGCCGGATTAGACAATCACCACCAACTGTAGCATCATCTTCACAAGGTATAGCGTCGACGATCTCGCCATCGTACATTCAACAATCGCTTCCTCCTCCTCCACGCCCAGCTCCATCGGCGCCAGCAAATATAACATCGCTTCCACCACCACCTCGTCCCAAATCCGCCCCAACAACATCATGTCCACCGTCACCTACACCTTCGTTACCACCATCAAGACCATTGTCTCCGCAGCATGATCCGGATGTTGCCGAACTGGCAGGTGCTAATATAGGCGCTCCAGCACGACCATCTTCCCCCGTGCATACACTTTCACCTCCAAAGACAAGGACTGCTAAAATCATGGTGCGCACAAATAATAATAATATACCACGGGAGGATATTGACTCAGTGGTTACAACGCCAACATCTGTTTTTAATCCTGCTAAGGAGATAATTGGGCAGGATATTGGTGAGGACGAAGAGGATGAAGAAGAGGAAGGTAGTACTCTATCTAGTTCAATTAATTTACCGTATAATGCACAGAACACGGATAAGTCGCAGAAATCAGTGGGAACAACATATTCGCTGGGTAATCCACCCGTAATGCCCTCAAGGCCACTACGGACTATGACTCCGCCAGCTGGGTTATTTTCTCTAAACCATAACGCAAATAGAACTGTAACTAATACTACAACGCAACCGCCAAAACAAACAAATCAAACAACGAAGCCGAAATCAACATTTTCATCAATATCTAATTCGTCCTCAATTACAGATTCATATACATCACTTCCCCCACCGCCTCGTTCGCCGCCGCCCCCTAGGACGGCAACACGTTCTCCCATTCTATCAACTCCGCAACCTCCACGATCCTCACGATCACCACATCCACCACGGTCTCCGCCGGTGGTGTATGCTTTTAACCAGCAATATTATAATATTCATTCTACACCGCCTTCAACGCCACCGAGGTCTCCAGTAGCTGTCTCACCACCAAGATCTACAGCAGTTGTTGGTGTATCGAATGTTGCCACAAAACGTCGCATTCCTCCCAATCTTTCTCTATCAAATTCGTCTCATCCGTCTCCTCCATCCCCTCGCTCTCCCCATTCAACTCACTCCGCTCCATCATCACCTTATTATTATACATCTCGTTCACGCAAAGCCACGGATTCGCCCCCATTCTATAGCACTAGATCTCCAACGCCTCCTGCACGAATAATGAACATTCCGACTAGTCTTTCGTCTGCTCTTGCACCTACGGTTCCACATCCCCCAGGCCCACCGCGGTTCTCCAAACCAACCTCTTCCCAATCACGGTCTATACAGCCGTCCAATAAGTTGCAATATCAATCTATCCCGATTATATTGCCATCTTCGGCAATAACTTCAATTCCTCCTCCGCCGCGTACTCGACCACCTAATATACCCCTACCTTCTATACCAACAAACGTTAGGCCGAGGAATTTGAATGGCAAGAATATTAGGGGTGTAGAACCAGCAGTTGAATTTTCAGACGACGATGAGTTAGATCCTGATTATCGTGATGAAGTAAATGCTGCCTGGAGAAAGTCCCAATTGACAAAATCTTTGGAAGAGAAGCATAACAAGCGGCATAGAAATGCAGCGAGAGTGAGTAAACGTCATCGGGATATAAACGGTGGCACCGATGATACTCATCGAGTAGATTCTGACGTTGAATCTAACGAGAGTGACGTTCATACAAACCATGCAAGAGCATTAAATCGTAATTTCCGAAGAGTTCTAATTGTTCATGAGCGTATGAGTAGTGGGGATTTTGAACTCGTTGCCAGTGTTCAGGAATTGGATAAAATTAGCTCCGCGGATGATAATTACGACGATGACGGCTATGCGGTGAAGAGCGTGGATGAGGGTAAAATGGGATTGGATGAAGCGGATAGCGTGGACATTTATTTAAATGGTGTAGTGGATGTTAAAACAAAAATCAGTGGATATGAGAGTGATGGGAGTTTAATTGACCCTATGGATTCTGTAGATGATAGTACTCGATGGGCATCTTCAATATTTTGATATTCTCATGTAGAATTATATTCACACACAACACACGTCTCCTGTATAGATCACATTATTATTTATTCTGTTTATATATTGTAAGCATATTTTCTTTTTCCAAGCATGTTTAACGCTGTATCATCATTATTGTATTTGATTAGTCGCGAATTATAGGTCGAGTGGGTTATTAGTATAAAAAAGAGTGTATTTTAAACTTAGTTTGTTTTATTGTATAATCAGTAAAAGTCTGGTTCAAATTATTCCTCGTAATATTAATATGGCTCATTTTACTAAAGCTTTTATATCTTTGCTATGGAAAATATTGCGATGTATGATATACCTGGATCATTTTAATTTTAACCTAAATAATAACGTTTTACCCAAACGTAGTATTTCGGGTTACACGACTTAAAAGTTTAAACAATTGTCAAAATTAGTAATACAGTGAACCCTCTCTAATATCCACCCCGCTAATATCAACCTCTCTCTATTAGCAACAGTGGTTACAGAAAAAATTCTCCCGCATATATCAATTTGGATATCATACCCCGTTGATATCCCATATCAGATTTTATTCCTAATTAAATGTACTATAAATTAGTACTACAATATCACGTATTTACTACGTAATGTCTCTTTATAATACGATTTGCGTCCTGTTGTGTACTAAAGCATAAACATACTAATACTCCACACGTCTAATTCTGATAGTTGTAATGAAATGAAGGCAGCGACATTGAAATCGAAAAAATTTCTCATTCTACGGCATTGGAACAATGCAAATTACTTCTGCAGTATGTACCCGCCAAATTCGTAGAAGAGCAAGACATGCCAAGATTGCAAAGTCTGTTGCGACGCATTCAATCGAATATACGAGGCGAGGCAACAAAAAAAGTTAACAGATTTTTTCATCAAAGAGAAAGAGAGAACCACAATTCATAAGAGGTGAACAAATTGGTTTAGTTTATATGGAGAAAGAAATTAAGAGATTTTTATTATAAATAAAGTTTAAGATTTAACTCGAGACATATATCATTACATATGACGTCATTATTTAAAACCCAACCCTGCATACATCAACGGGTTGATATTATTAAATTAGATATTAATATTAATACGCTCTCAAACCGCTTTTTACCACAAAATGTGCGGATGGATTGTAACATATCAATAGTAGGCATTACTACTACTACTGCATGATCTCCGGAGAGAATCAAGGCTCCATCAAGCAATGCCCGGAGAAGGATTCCCCGAGCGCCATTTTCATCTCGTACTCGATCCATTACAGTTCCACAATTCCGGCACTTGTACACCTCGGACCCTCCTATTTTTTGAATGCTCCCACACCAG